CGGGGNGGGGGGGAGATGAAGAAGAGCTCCTTGAAGAAACTTCCCGGGGCGATGAAACCGAAAGTTTGATTCTCGCGTAACACGTGTTGATCACGCAGAAATTGTAGCACGCGATCGCGCATTAAACGCGCGAAGTTGAATTACAATATATCTTTCTCCCATACTTCTCTCTTCCTCTCAGAGTATACGTTTCGTTCGAGGGAGTTTTTTCACTCGAGAAAGGGAAAAAAGATTCGCGTTGTGGCACATCGATCAGGGCGAATAGACGAATAGACGAATTCACGACGAATAGACGAATTAAATAAAATGCAAAAAAAAATAACGATATGTAATTGCAAATGTCGGTTAATTTTGTTGGAGACTGAAAAATTAACCGACATTTGCAATTACATATCGTTATTTTTTTTTGCATTTTATTTAATTCGTCTATTCGTCGTGAATTCGTATTGAATCCTGACCGTATCTGAATCCTTATTTGGGGATCGGGTGTCGTTAAAATAAAAAAAGAAGAAGAAATGATGAAGATGAAAGACACGTTGCCGAAGGAGCGTTTTGACCCTGTTACGGAGATTATCTTTCAAGTACGCGAAGGGACGCGATCTTTACGTATAAATACGATGGGTGTATCAATAGGCAGATGTTTCTTGAAGTGTCACGGCCGACGCGTTTGAAATTTTAACGATGAGATTCAGCAGCGGGCGAAACGGAAAGTTCCCGAGGCGGAGGCGTCAACGGGGCGTTTATTAACGTAATTTGCGGTTTGTTGAATATCTCGCGGCAAGGCGTCGCTTTCTAGGTCGCTTTAATGAGAGTTATCGACACCGACGCGGGACGCGTTCTAAAAAAGTTTAGTCGATAATGCTGCAACTGTGCATCCTCGCGAGTCACGGCACGCTGTGCGAAGTCGCAAGTCCATCGCACACAGACACACACACACGGCTCCCCTTCGGCGTGCCGTTCCAATCAATCTTTATTTCTCGGAATCTCAGTAATTTAAATCTTCATTAATTTCGTCATTTCATTATTCCTTCATAATTCACATTATTTGTAATAATAATATGGAATTATATAAGATAACAGGGTACAGCGGGGTAATTTAGATAACAGTAAGCATTTGCAAGAATTTCAGAAAAATAGGACATTGATCAATGTCTGATCTAACGAAATGTATCTTAAAATCTCTTATTTTTCTGAAATTCTTGCAAATGCTTTGCACTATTCAAATTACCCCGCTGTACGCTATGGCGTAACATAACAACAGGTTTTATTTAAGTTTATTAGAATAATGTAATAATGAATATTCTGCGGTAAATAATTAGTGTAAAATGAAATAATCTCTCTCTCTCTCTCTCTCTATTTCTCTCTCTCGCGCGCGCGCCGACGTATCTTGTATCGATCCTCGCGTTGCTGTTTACGGTCGTTAACTTCGCATCAATCTTCTGAATATTAACATTTCAGAGCGTCAATTACACACGCGTCGGTTGCTCCTATCAACGTTCAGAATTTAAAGCTACATTAGCACTTAATGTCTTTCCAAATATTTGAAGATTCTGTTAGAATATTTATGATTTTTAATAGCTCGGGCTGTACCATATATCTATCTTCACACCATTATGAAAGAGCGTTTGTCGTCTAATATACGATACATTTTTGACACGGAAAATGTATGTTAGTCAGTTTTCATCGAATATTTA